TTAATAATAATTAAGTTACTCCAATAATATCTTCTTCTTTTTTTATTCTTTACATGAAGTCTTAATTAATTATTTTTTTATTTTTTTATATAGGTGGTTACGAGTTACAGAAACTTAGCAATTTGGAGATCCTTGACTTGGGAGATAATAGCTTCAATAACAGTATTCTGTCATATGTGGAGGGGCTTCCGTCTCTTAAAACACTATATTTAGGTTATAATAGACTGGAGGGGTCAATAGACTTGAAAGGTTAGTTTTTTTATATACTTTTATTTTTATAAATATTAAATTCAATTAACTCAACTATCTATTAAATTTAATTTCAAAAAACACAATTACTGAGTATTGTATTAATTTATTTTTTTATATAAATATCAAGAATCTCTGAGCAGCTTGGAGACCTTGGGTCTGAGCGGCAACAATATCAACAAGTTGGCAGCCTCAAGAGGTAATCAGTAACACATTCACATTACCTACCTGGCTGGCAGCATCAGGAAGATAATATTAATTATTCTTGTTTCTTCCCTAACGAACTTGCAAGTCCAAGCAACTTGAGTACTCTATGGCTAGGTAATATCACAACCTATGGAAATAGCTTCCAGTTATTAGGATCATTCCCAAACCTCACGACACTTTACCTGTACTCTAACGATTTTAGAGGGAGAATATTAGGTGACGGTAAGTCGTATATTTTATTATATTTTATATAGTGATGTTTATATATTTGGGTTTAATTGAAAAATACAATTTGCTACTTTTGAACAAACAGGGTTCCATAATTTAAGCTCATTGGAAGAGCTGTATCTGGACGGTTGTTCTCTGGATGAACACTCCCTTCAAAGCCTTGGAGGAGCATTGTTTTCTCTGAAAAATCTGTCATTGCAGGAGCTCAATGGCACTGTACCTTTTGAAGGTAAATTAACAAATTTCAACATTTATGCCTGCTCGATCAAACTTGTCTATATAGAATTCTTTTTTTATGTTTTCGTAACCTATTACACTCAAATCCAATATAAATTAAATTCATAATATAAAAAAAACAGAAAGACAATTAAATCTCAAATTTAGAAATTAACTCAATTGAAATCTTTATTATTTTAAAATTGTACCATCCATTTAATATAAATAATATTTCACTTTAATTTTTCCCCTCTCTTAGCACCATTTTAGTGTAATGTAATTAAAATGATAACATAAAACACAATATAACTTTATATACAGAGAGTGCTATTTTTAGAAGAAGAATAAATTAACAGTGGTCTATTTTTATTTTTTTGGGTAAGACGTATAAAAAAACCTTCAATTAATTGGACAATATAATTTCTACTCTTACCTGATGTTTTTTGTTTTTATAGCCATGATTAACAAGTAATGAATTATTTCTAATTTTAATTCCTTCTATGCTAATATAATTTCTTGTTTAATTCATCATGGGAGGGTTTCTTGATCTCAAGAACTTGGAATACGTGGATTTAAGTTTCAATACTCTCAATAATAGCATCTTCCAAGCCATCGGAACGATGACCTCTCTTAAAACATTGAAATTGGAAAATTGCAGTCTAAATGGTCAATTACCTACAATTCAAGGTAAGTTTAATCACTCTTGCTCTTTTATTTCATTTATAATTTTAATTGCATTTACGTTAATATAATTTCTAATTTTAATTCCTCAATAGCATCTTCCAAACCATGATTAAGGTTGATTATTTTTTTTATGTTTTCGTAACCTACGACACTCAAATCCAATAGAAATTAAATTCATAATATAAAATAAAAAAATAGAAAGACAATTAAATTTCAAATTTAGAAATTAACTCAATTGAAATCTTTATTATTTTAAAATTATACCATCCATTTAATATAAATAATATTTCACTTTAATTTTTCCCCTCTCTCAACAACATTTCAGTGTAATGTAATTAAAATGATAACATAAAAAACAATATAACTTAGTATATAGAGAGTGCTATTTTTAGGAGGAGAATAAATTAACAATGGTGTATTTTTTTTTTGGGTAAGACATATAAAAAAACCTTCTATTAGTTGGACAATACAATTTCTACACTTATTTGATGTTTTTTGTTTTTTAAGCCATGATTAACAAGTAATGAATTATTTCTAATTTTAATTCCTTCTAATTTAATTTAATTTCTTGTTTAATTTATCGTGGCAGGCTTTCTTAATCTCAAGAACTTGGAATACTTGGATTTGAGTTATAATACTCTCAATGATAGCATTTTCCAAGCCATTGGAACGATGACCTCTCTTAAAACATTGAAATTGGAGGATTGCAGTCTAAATGGTCAATTACCTACAACTCAAGGTAAGGTTAATCACTCTTGCTCTTTCATTTCCTTTATAATTTTAATTGCATTTACGTTAATATAATTTCTAATTTTAATTCCTCAATAGCATCTTCCAAACCATGATTAAGGTTGATTATTTTTTTTATGTTTTCGTAACCTACGACACTCAAATCCAATAGAAATTAAATTCATAATATAAAAAACTAGTAAGACAATTAAATCTCAAATTTAGAAATTAACTCAATTGAAATATTTATTATTTTAAAATTATACCATCTATTTAAAATAAATAATATTTCACTTTAATTTTTCCCCTCTCTCAACAACATTTCAGTGTAATGTAATTAAAATGATAACATAAAAAACAATATAACTTAGTATATAGAGAGTGCTATTTTTAGGAGGAGAATAAATTAACAATGGTGTATTTTTTTTTTGGGTAAGACATATAAAAAAACCTTCTATTAGTTGGACAATACAATTTCTACACTTATTTGATGTTTTTTGTTTTTTAAGCCATGATTAACAAGTAATGAATTATTTCTAATTTTAATTCCTTCTAATTTAATTTAATTTCTTGTTTAATTTATCGTGGCAGGCTTTCTTAATCTCAAGAACTTGGAATACTTGGATTTGAGTTATAATACTCTCAATGATAGCATTTTCCAAGCCATTGGAACGATGACCTCTCTTAAAACATTGAAATTGGAGGATTGCAGTCTAAATGGTCAATTACCTACAACTCAAGGTAAGGTTAATCACTCTTGCTCTTTCATTTCCTTTATAATTTTAATTGCATTTACGTTAATATAATTTCTAATTTTAATTCCTTAATAACATCTTCCAAATCATGAGTAAGGTTGATTGCTTTTTTATGTTTTCATAACCTACTACACTCAATTCCAATAGAAATTAAATTCATAATATAAAATAAAAAAATAGAAAGACAATTAAATTTCAAATTTAGAAATTAACTCAATTGAAATCTTTATTATTTTAAAATTATACCATCCATTTAATATAAATAATATTTCACTTTAATTTTTCCCCTCTCTCAACAACATTTCAGTGTAATGTAATTAAAATGATAACATAAAAAACCAGTATAACTTCATAGATAAAGATTGCTATTTTTAGGAGGAGTATAAATTAACAATGGTCTATTTTTATTTTTTTAGGTAAGACATATAAAAAAACCTTCTATTAATTGGATAATACAATTTCTACACTTACTTGATGTTTTTTGTTTTTATAGCCATGATTAATATGTAATGAATTATTTCTAATTTTAATTCCTTCTATGCTAATATAATTTCTTATTTAATTCATCATGTTAGGCTTCCTTGATCTGAAAAACTTAGAATACTTGGATTTGAGTTTCAATACTCTCACTAATAGCATCTTTCAAACCATCAGAACAATGACCTCTCTCAAAACTTTAAGCTTGCAAAGTTGCAAGCTAGATGGTCGAATACCTGCAACCCAAGGTAAGGTTGATTACTCTTACAATCTCTTTCTCTTGAGGTTATATATTTTCCAATAGACACTCAGAGTTTTATTTTTTTTCTAAATTATAATGTGATCAGGCCTATGCGACTTAAATCATCTGCAAGGGCTATATATGAGCGACAATGATCTTAGTGGTTTCTTGCCTCCATGTGTGGCAAATTTGACTTCCCTTCAACGACTAGATCTCTCTTCCAATCACTTAAAGATCCCTATATCATTGAGCCCATTATACAACCTTTCAAGTCTCAAGTCTTTTTATGGTTCAGGTAATGAAATATTCGCAGAAAAAGATGATTATAAACTGAGCCCAAAGTTCCAGTTAGAGTCCCTTCTTTTGAGCTGTCGTGGACAAGCTGTAGGAGCATTTCCTAAGTTCCTTTACCATCAGGTGAACCTACAATATGTGGATCTTGCAAACCTTGGATTGAAGGGAGAGTTTCCAAATTGGTTAATTGAGAACAACACATACCTACAATATCTTTTTTTAGAAAACTGTTCTCTTTCGGGTCCATTCTTGTTGCCAAGGAATTCTCATGTGAACTTGTCATTCTTAAGTATATCCAAGAATCATTTCCGAGGCCAAATCCCTTCAAAAATTGGAGTTTATTTGCCAAGGTTAAATGTCTTAGACATGTCTAATAATGGTTTCAATGGAAGTATTCCTTCATCATTAGGTAACATGAGCTTGCTGTACAAGTTAGACCTGTCCAACAATGTATTGATTGGCAGAATACCAGAGTATTTAACAAGAAGTTGCTCTTTGTTAGAAACTCTCATGCTTTCAAACAATAGTTTGCAAGGGCAGATCTTCTCTGAAAATATTAACTTAAAATTCTTGAGATGGTTACAATTGGATAGCAATCAATTTGATGGTATCCCTGATAGCTTATCTAATTGCTCCTATTTGACAATGTTAGATGTCAGCAATAACCATCTCTCTCAAATGATTCCTGGATGGATAGGGAAAATGTCTTCTCTTGAATTTTTGGACCTTTCACGAAATAATTTATCTGGTCCTTTACCACCTAGCTTCGATACTTCTTCAATGTTACAATTTATTTATTTGTCTAGAAATAAGTTGTTAGGACCGATCTTAAGACCATTTTATAACTACTCTAAGCTATTGGCATTAGATCTTTCCCATAATGACTTAACTGGTAGAGTTCCAGAATGGATTGGCAGAGCCATTGGAACGATGACCTCTCTTAAAACATTGAAATTGGAGGATTGCAGTCTAAATGGTCAATTACCTACAACTCAAGGTAAGGTTAATCACTCTTGCTCTTTCATTTCCTTTATAATTTTAATTGCATTTACGTTAATATAATTTCTAATTTTAATTCCTTAATAACATCTTCCAAATCATGAGTAAGGTTGATTGCTTTTTTATGTTTTCATAACCTACTACACTCAATTCCAATAGAAATTAAATTCATAATATAAAATAAAAAAATAGAAAGACAATTAAATTTCAAATTTAGAAATTAACTCAATTGAAATCTTTATTATTTTAAAATTATACCATCCATTTAATATAAATAATATTTCACTTTAATTTTTCCCCTCTCAACAATATTTTAATGTAATGTAATTAAAATGATAACATAAAAAAACAGTATAACTTCATAGATAAAGATTGCTATTTTTAGGAGGAGTATAAATTAACAATGGTCTATTTTTATTTTTTTAGGTAAGACATATAAAAAAACCTTCTATTAATTGGATAATACAATTTCTACACTTACTTGATGTTTTTTGTTTTTATAGCCATGATTAATATGTAATGAATTATTTCTAATTTTAATTCCTTCTATGCTAATATAATTTCTTATTTAATTCATCATGTTAGGCTTCCTTGATCTGAAAAACTTAGAATACTTGGATTTGAGTTTCAATACTCTCACTAATAGCATCTTTCAAACCATCAGAACAATGACCTCTCTCAAAACTTTAAGCTTGCAAAGTTGCAAGCTAGATGGTCGAATACCTGCAACCCAAGGTAAGGTTGATTACTCTTACAATCTCTTTCTCTTGAGGTTATATATTTTCCAATAGACACTCAGAGTTTTATTTTTTTTCTAAATTATAATGTGATCAGGCCTATGCGACTTAAATCATCTGCAAGGGCTATATATGAGCGACAATGATCTTAGTGGTTTCTTGCCTCCATGTGTGGCAAATTTGACTTCCCTTCAACGACTAGATCTCTCTTCCAATCACTTAAAGATCCCTATATCATTGAGCCCATTATACAACCTTTCAAGTCTCAAGTCTTTTTATGGTTCAGGTAATGAAATATTCGCAGAAAAAGATGATTATAAACTGAGCCCAAAGTTCCAGTTAGAGTCCCTCCTTTTGAGCTGTCGCGGACAAGCTGTAGGAGCATTTCCTAAGTTCCTTTACCATCAGGTGAACCTACAATATGTGGATCTTGCAAACCTTGGATTGAAGGGAGAGTTTCCAAATTGGTTAATTGAGAACAACACATACCTACAATATCTTTTTTTAGAAAACTGTTCTCTTTCGGGTCCATTCTTGTTGCCAAGGAATTCTCATGTGAACTTGTCATTCTTAAGTATATCCAAGAATCATTTCCGAGGCCAAATCCCTTCAAAAATTGGAGTTTATTTGCCAAGGTTAAATGTCTTAGACATGTCTAATAATGGTTTCAATGGAAGTATTCCTTCATCATTAGGTAACATGAGCTTGCTGTACAAGTTAGACCTGTCCAACAATGTATTGATTGGCAGAATACCAGAGTATTTAACAAGAAGTTGCTCTTTGTTAGAAACTCTCATGCTTTCAAACAATAGTTTGCAAGGGCAGATCTTCTCTGAAAATATTAACTTAAAATTCTTGAGATGGTTACAATTGGATAGCAATCAATTTGATGGTATCCCTGATAGCTTATCTAATTGCTCCTATTTGACAATGTTAGATGTCAGCAATAACCATCTCTCTCAAATGATTCCTGGATGGATAGGGAAAATGTCTTCTCTTGAATTTTTGGACCTTTCACGAAATAATTTATCTGGTCCTTTACCACCTAGCTTCGATACTTCTTCAATGTTACAATTTATTTATTTGTCTAGAAATAAGTTGTTAGGACCGATCTTAAGACCATTTTATAACTACTCTAAGCTATTGGCATTAGATCTTTCCCATAATGACTTAACTGGTAGAGTTCCAGAATGGATTGGCAGACTATCTAACTTGAGATTTCTTCTCTTAAGTTATAACAATCTCGAAGGTGAAATCCCAATTCAATTATGCAAGTTGGACCAATTAACTCTGATTGATCTATCTCACAACTACCTTTCTGGCAATATCCTCTCTTGCATAGTATCTACTGCTTTTTTTCCATCATCAACTGATGCCTATGCTCCTGAGTCCTCACAACAATCTTTCGAGTTTACAACAAAGAATGTATCCCTTCCATATAGAGGCAGTATTCTCCACTACTTTACTGGAATTGATTTCTCATGCAATAATTTCAGTGGGAAGATTCCTCCTGAAATTGGAAACCTCAGCAAGATCAAGGCATTGAACCTTTCGCACAATAACTTGGTTGGACCTATTCCACCAACATTCTCGAGGTTAAAGGAAATAGAGAGCTTGGATCTTTCCCATAACAAATTGGAAGGAGAAATCCCTCCTCAACTTACTGAACTATATTACCTAGCTGTTTTCAGTGTGGCACACAATAATCTGTCTGGCAAGACACCTGCGAGAGTTGCACAGTTTGCCACGTATGAGGAGAGCTGCTATAAGGACAACCCTTTTCTTTGTGGACAACCATTATCCAAAGTTTGTGATGCGGCTATGACACCATTACCAATGCCAACTTTAACGACCAACAAAGATAATAGTGGCTTCATGGATATGGAAGTTTTTTATGTGACCTTTGGGGTTGCATACATCATGGCATTACTGGTGATAGGTGCAGTTCTATACATAAATCCATATTGGCGACGAGTATGGTTTCCCTTTATTGAGGTGAGCATCAACAATTGCTATTATTTTCTGGTGGACAATCTTCCCATTTTATCCAAGTTTGGATTTTCATAGCCTTAGTGTTTTGTTGTGTATCCTAGTTTTAAGATTTAAACAAGTTTAAATGCAATGTTATATTGATTTTTATTTCTATTTTATTTTTGTTTTTAGCTTCTGTGTGACATATAATAATGAAGTTTCTTCACTGATTGCTCTGAGAATATAATAATAAACTATATTCTCCCTGTTTTGTTTTTGTTTTTGTATATTATTTATAGCATCACGAGTTTTCCTAGTTTTTACATGAATTAATAAGAGGATGTTTTGGTATTCTGGATTGGGTTTGGCAGACTGTATGTTTAAATAAAATAGATTACTAAAAGGGATCGATTTTGATTATAATTTGGTGTGGGAAATTCTCTGCATGCCTACATAGAGTTGGCTTCTTGAAACTACAAAAAATATACATAGATGTATGCCCAAACCAGTATTGGGTAAATCAAGATAAACCAGGATTGCCGAGGAAGAGGCTGTTTAGGTTAGTCCGAACAGGGTTCTATAATCATTAATTGTACAATCAACCCTAATTAGAATTTCCCAACAAAGAATTAACTAAAGACTTTAGTTAATGCCGATAAACATGAGTAAATGATTTGTTATAGAGAAAATCATGTATTTAATAACCATTGTTAAGATACAGGTTCTAGAGCCATAAACCACTCATATTTACTTGGGTTGATCCCAAACTGAGACAAATCTATTTTGTCCAGTTCGGAGCACCTTCAAACAAAAAGAAAGTTAAACCTTGTAAAATTGGCTACCATCAAAAGGATAAGAAACAGAACAAGAAGGATCAACCTCACATTTCTTACATAAGTAAAAGAATCCACTTGCTTACAGTACATATAGAATAAGCATTAATAATTACATTCATCTAGATCACCCGAACTACCTGCAACATGTATCATCACATCACGAGAGCCAACCTAAATACAACAAACAAGGATATGGTTAGTTGCACTATCTGAGTAGAACACACCTCTAGCACCAATATTACTTAGGATTCTTTGCTAATCTTCCAATTTCATTGGTCCTGATGAAGAGGTTACATCATTCATTACTTCTGCACCAAGGTTTGATATAACTAAGTTTCCATTCTTGAGTGATGAGAAAATATCTCATCAGAATAAAAGAAAATAGCCACGTAACATATTATGGACCATTTCTTTTTGGTAATAAAAGTGCTCCTTAACCTTTTTAAAGTTATTTTACAATGAATCACAACCATTAAACATCTATATTTATAGACAAACACCACGTTATAATTATAAATTCCATATAAAAGATGCCCCAATTTTTAGAATTTACCCCATGGAAGTTTGTGCAAGGGCATAAGGGGATGAAGGGTTTGACAAGGGCTAAGGTGAGTGAGATGTTTTTGTCAAGAAATGATTTTGGAAAATTTATTGATATTTCTCAAATAACTAAGATATGAGTCTTTATCAAGGCAAGAACATAGGTTCTCCAAAATGATTGACCAAAAGGAGAGAAGGAAGGCTCATTCTATTCCATTGACTCTTAGTCTCAAAGAACAAAACATTACTTAGCTCTATATCCTTACTCTTGCTATATCAACCCTTAGAGTTGAAGCATCATCTTTGAGTATGCTTCTTTGTTATAATAAATATACCTTGATGAGATATTATCTTCAAGCATGTCTTCAAAAACTTGGAAAGGAGTAGAAGTATCAGGCTCTTCTTCATCAAGGAACTCTGCTGGACAACAAGATAAAGCAGTGACGTTGTTGATGGAAAACCTTCACTCTTGAATAAGTGCTGAAGTTATATGCCAGGTCATTAGTTTGAAGGTGTAAAACTGGTTAGTAAAATTTCAAGAAGTCTAGTTCACACATACGGAGTGGGCAACTAAAATACATAAATAAATAAACACGAAGTAGAAAGCAGGAAATCCAGTTAGTCTAATATGATCTTTATGTGAAATAGAGGTTTTCTTTATGAAAATATAGAAATGGGAGGAGATAAATATAGATGCAAGATTAAAAAAAAAAAACACTTTGTGAGAGAGTTGACCATAAAGTAATTTTACAACTTTCTGATGTGAAATTAGCAAAAGTGATGTATCAACTACATCAAATTGTTTGCATTTAAATGCAAAGTCTAATCTTAAACCATAAGAGATTAAACTTTGCATTTAAATATAAGCCAAGATGTTAGGAACAAAATAATGAAGAGTAGAATGGCTAACAAAGGACTCAAAACACAAAAGTATTTACCAAATGGATGATTTATATAATTGTTGACAGAGCTACATAATTGAGAATCATCTTTAGCTTTCCGCTCCTGTAAACATATTACATAATTTTCCAAAATCATGCAACTAACAGTTGAGTCAATGTTACACATAAAAGAGTGGAAAACACAGAAAATGAACTTGACCTGCATCCAAATAAATACTTTTGATCATCTGTATTGAATTTCAAGATGTAACTCTTCTCAAAGCTTGATTAACTTGAATAACCCAAAGAATTATGAATATATGATATTACAATCAATTATTAAAGTCAAATATCTCCCATCTAAGAAAAAAATTAAGAGAGAAAAGTGTACTTCTCAAAAACAGCCTTTTCAGAAAAAAAATAATCTGATCCTATTAGTCAACACGTCAAGATAAAGATACCAAGTTCTCACCTCAAAAGAATATTAACAAAACAACCAACAAAAAAAGAAATAAAAACCAATGTTGGAAGAGAGAAACAAAATTCCCCAGGCACTAGTGTCTGATTTTGGATTTCTAGTTCCCTCAAATTACTAGGTTCCACATCATTCAAATTCCTATCAAACCACTGGAAATGAAGCAAACCCTCGTCACCCTGGAACAATTCAAAAATTTCAACTTCGAATAGGAAACAAGATGATAGAGCCGTCGCCCGATATCGTGTAGCGACACTTAAGATAAACGAAAACAACAGAAGTAACTAAAAATCTTTACACATGCACGAACTCTATATAACACAAAAAAAACCAATAGACATCAATTTACCCTTCCAATACGAACAAGTCCCTTTTGAGAATCAGGAACAACCTTTTTTTTCATAGAAAACCATTTTACCAGCATGAACAAAAAAACCAAAAGGCACCAGTTTACCCTTCCAATGCGAACGAGTCCCTTTAGAGAATCAAGAACAACCTTTTTCATAGAAAACCATTTTACCAGCATGAAACTCCAACACAATTTCCTACCATCAAAACAACCACAACACCCTAGCATAACCCCATCAAGAAAAATATACTTGTACATCCAAAAAAGCAATTACAGGATCTAATTTATAAGAAATAAAGATTTTAAGCTAAACCCACGATCTTAAAGGTGATTTGATTTACTAACATTGCTGGAATATCTTCAGCTGATGAAGAACCCATTTTTCGCATACTTCCTCTATAAAGCTGCCTTTCTTTCAACACTGCAAAGAAGAACAAAAAAGAAGGAAAAATCAAATGCCCAAATCATAAACAATAATAGAAAAAAAATAAAAGAAAATCTAAAGCTGGAAAATTAATGGAATTATTTGATTGATTTCTAGAGAAAGAGGGCTTGGGGGATTGGAGTGTTGTAGTGGGTTATCTTTTGGAAGGTCACAAGTATATGGAGGTTGTTGAAGTCTATGCTGCAACACTTCTTGGCACAACTCTGAAAGATTTGGATAACGCTTCTTGGCACAACTCTGAAAGATTTGGATTCCTTGGGTTGAGAAAGCTGCATTGCCTGAGGAAAAACGACAGGTAAGATTTAAAATCTTGGGTCTCAGCCACTTTTTAATTAGAATCGCTTTAATTAATTGTATTCTGATGGATGTCCTCGGCACAAATTAAGGAGTCATGGAATTTTGACTAACCTATTCATAGGAATATTATCATTCTGTTCCATCTTTATATGTACTGCCATGTTTTTTTCCAGGTACTTTTGAGGCGACTACGCTCTATATATCCTCTCAAAACATTCAATTCATCACAGCTCTCCTCAGTTTTGCAAGAAAATAACCGTGAAGCTCATTATTCTCCCTCAAAAGATATAAATGTTATTGAGGGATCGGATCTCCAAAAGACTTAGAAAACAATTTCCTAGCTGCCTATTGAGGAGGTTAGTACAAAACAAACAATTTTGCATGTAGATCCATGTTTTTGGTGGTTCCGGTCATTCACTTTGAAGTTTGGGAATTGCTCGGGTGGAGGTAGTTGTCTTCCCTTGTTAGCAGTTTCAAAGAACTCTTTCAATAGTATTTACTTAGATCACAATTATAGGTTGCTGAATTTTGAATTAGAAATGGTTGTAAATTTGAATTAGGTATCAGATTTCCCTTTCTATCTATTCAGCTGCAAAGAAGGCCATAGCAGACCTGTGGCAGTTTTCAATCTCATATCAAGTGAACCCTCTAGCTGCAGTTCAACCTCTCCCAACTGCAACACGAGGAGGACGGTGATGACATCATTTTTATAATCAATGCTTATGATACTCTCCTTTTGGTAGCCAAGTCACATTCTGTCATTCTTTTGAGGAACGTGGAGGTAGCTCAAATTAAATTGTAATAATGCGTCTGATTATCTACAACTAGTAGCGCAATAATATCAATCGCAGAATAATGTTATGTAACAAATGATATCAATGCAACGTTAGACTTTTGGACCTTTCACTCTTCTTCTTTTTCCCTTTTATTTCCTAGTTTCACAAATTTGCAGATAAAAGGCATTACACTATCATGCATCCACGAGCTCCGTCTACTTCCGATTAATGTTCCATTTTCTGTCTTGTCTATAGGTTCTCTCATGAAGAAAATGGTGATCTTCTGATGTAGGAGGGTTTCGAGGTGATCAGATCCTGATCATAAGCCTTCAGCCCAAGGCATAAAGGCCAAGTATGAGGCAATGCTTACCATTAAGATAGTATATACTGGTTCTCAAATTATTTAATTTGGTGGAAGAATAGATAGGAATTTTCCACTATCTTAGATGGGGTTCACTTCTGCAATAATCTTTCAGAGCTCGTTGACAGAATCTAGTCTGTTATTCCATAAAGAACATCCATTCTCTAGGGCATGTTTGGAATGGCAAATGCTGGAGCTCAAATGCTGCAAGGATATGCTTGGCAATAGTTGTAATCTACGGAATCACCATAGATGTCCTTTGCCTCCTTGTAATCACCAGAAATTCTCAGGCTGGCCAGGTCAGGAGTGATGTGTTTGGTCGCCACTGTGTCAGGATACCATGATTGTGAATTTTCTAAGGTGGACATGTTGGCAGTAGGAGCTAGTTGGAAGAGAGGGGGGTATATAAAGCTGGTGGTCCATAGCAAAAACGACATGTATCATCTGCGTGGTATCGGTTGTTGCAGATTTGACATGGTCCCTTTTTGCCTGTTTTTGCATGTCGTTTGCCTCAGAAAGGTTGGCCACCAGAGGAGTATAAGAAACAATTTTAACCTCTTTATAATTTTAATTATCACGTGCTCTCTCCCCTCTCTCCTCTCTCATCTATACCTACAAATATAAATAATTATAACTATAAAATTTCTCCCGGGGGGGGGTGTTGTGGAAGTCAAAAGAAAACAGCCTAGAAAAAGAAGTAAGAGAAGTGTTAATTGAAGGCAACTAACACATGGCGATTGCCATGTGAGAGCACGACATGGGCAGCCTGCATCGACCTCTTTACTGATATTACATATAAATGTATAAATCAAAGCCAAGTAATATATAAGACCGACCATTTTTAGACTGAAATAATTTCATTATAAAAATCCTTAATAATAAAGTAGAACATTCAATTCTCAAAGAAATAAATAAACGCAATAATTCAGATAAAATATTGTGATCTCTATAGCTACGCGGTTTCCACAGGGGATTATATTGGAATTCAACCATGATCAAACGAATTGGCAAAGCATTGATCAATAAAGTTCAATTAAGCTGAGACTTTTTGACTCCAAGGATTATTTATAATTTAATTACTATCTTAATTACATAGTGAATGTCAGCAGGTGAGAAATCAGATCTTATGAACATACAAATTAATTTAAACAAATTTGAAGCAATATTATTTTGAATTAATCGAATCAATATGGATTGATGTACTCAACCTGTGATTCATGTTTTAAAACAGATCATGAATAAAACCAAGTTTATAAGATACTTGAAATTATAGTAACGATTGATTTTTAAAATATTTTTTATTAAAAAATACATTCAAATAATTTTTTTAAAATTTATTTTTGATATCAACATGTTAAAACGATGTAAAAATATATATAAAAAATTAATTTTAAATAATTTATTTTTAAAAAATTGATCATCTCCGTGTGGGCTTCGACAACCAAATTAACTTCAGACTTTCTATACATATTTTTAATTGTAGAAAAAAACTTCATGAAATAATAGTTAACGTAATTTAAAGATTGAGTAACACAGTTAATTTATCTTTGGTGAAGATAATGCATGGTTACCATGTATCAAAATCTAACATCATCAACCATTAACCATCTAAGTGGTGGCTAAGTGGTAATAACTTGGAATCAAGGGGTTTGCTCCCTCTGTGATCTCAAGTTCGAGTCCTTGGTTGCTCATATGATGGCCACTGGAGGCTTATATGATCGTTAACTTCAGGGCCCGTGGAATTAGTCGTGGTGCGCGCAAGCTGGCCCGGACACCCACGTTAATCTAAAAAAAAAAATCTAACATCATCCAAAATTATGAGGGAGAATAAAATAAAGAAGAGAGAAGTAGCTTTTATCTGTGGCTTGATTACGTTGATCATAGACTGAAATAAAATACATGACATTATTTGGGAAAAGTCGCTGTAGATAGAGGATGCATAATCATGGACATAGCTAGAAAACAGATTGTGTGAGAACTTATTTTAAGTATAGTTGTTCTCACAAGGCAGTACTCTTGTTACAACGACAGGTGCTTCATTATTCATTCTTGCTTTTATCAGCACTTTTAGTCCATTAAAACTAACATAGTTTTGTCCTATGACACGTCTTGTTGTGCTAGTTTGTCTGCAATTATTCAAGTAGTGGGTTTTAAATCTATTTCCGGAGAGAAAAAAATATTACTTGATAAATTGAAACACATGAATGAGTAGGGTACATCGAAGACTTGTGGACATTATTATTATTATTATTATTATTATTATTATTTGATTCGATCATAATGGAGCAATATTGATTTTAATATAGGTTTTGTTATTGTTTGAAGACAAAAAAGATAAAGACAAGAAACATATCTTCTTCTTTTTGTTACGTTCTGTTTTGAAATGATATAAATTTATTTTAAGATTATCATAATAATATATTTATTTTATATAATTGTCTTTGTCCTTCCAATTAAACACATTTATGTTTTTTTTTTATTCTACGTTCTTCTATTCTAAAATGCACTTACCAAATACAAAAATGGCTAAATTTTTAGAAATAGTTATAACTTAGCAGCTGAGAGAAGTCTAATTCATAATTGGTTCATGTTTGATGAATTTATTGTCGTTTCTAACCAAGAAAAATCTAATAAATTTAACTGAAACTTAAATATAAAAAATGAGATTTTAGTAAATTACATGCCTTATTAAGTCATAAAAAATTATTTCTGTCATAAATTGACAAAAAAAAAGAAAAAAAGAAGTCCTGATTAATTGATCCACATTTTAATTTGACTCTCCATCTTGATAAATTAAGATTTTATGTAAAATTAATATGAGTTTTAGTACTATAATTACATGGTA